GTTCCCTCCCTGCCCCTGCCACACCCTGCCCCACCCTGCCTGGCCCTGCCCCTCCCTACCCCAGGCCAGGGGGATCACCTGCCCCTCCTGCCTGTCCCCACGTGCCCTAGTGCCAGGCACACGACCCTGCTGCCCCCAGGGAAGCTGGCGGTGCACCCTGCGGGGCTGAGGCCGGGCTGCTCGTGACACCTCAGCGCTGGGAGCCGGGGGGAGGCCGTGCTGCAAGGGGTGGGGGGGGGTGAGCCGAAACGGGGTGGGAAGCGCGTATCTGGAGGCAGGAGTGGTGCGGCGAGAAGCGTTTATCTGGAGCCAGGACTGGTGCAGGAGGGAGAGCGGAAGACGTACTGATGGCCATGGGAGCTGGGCGGGCGCGGGGGGAGGCGCAGGGGGTCCCCAATGCCAAAGTGTGCCTGACACCCTGACCTTCCCCCCGCCAGCCCTGTGCTCAGCTCCAGGAGTGGGATGAAAAGCCAGGGGCTGGAGCCGCAGGGCACGGGGGCCGGGGGGAGGCTGCCCAACTTTTCACCGGAGGCTGAGCCCCAGGGGGTGTGCAGGCAGGTCCCCCCCTGCAAGGGCGATGTCCCACCCGGGCGCACAGAGGCAGGCACCTGTGCACACCCATGCACACACACACACACGCGCGTGTGCACATGCACACCGAGGAGGCGCAGCAGCCACGGCGGAGCTGTCTTTGCTGTCTCCTCTCCCCCTGCACTGCCAGTGAGGCTAAGCCCAAGGGGACTGCAGTCCCGAGTCACCCCACACACAATTGGACCCGGTCTTGCCTACCCCACACATTGGGAACCATGGCTTTGTTTTGGGGGGGGAAGCCACATCCTATAGCTCACATGCCACCCACCCCACTGGCCGGTGGGGATGGCTGTCCTGAGCCAGGGACAGGCCTCCTCAAGAGATGGAGCAGGTCATTTTGAGAGGGGACGGGTGTACGATCACCCCTTCTCGTGGAGGCTGTCCTGGCTGCAGCCCTCCCTGTCGGGACAGGTTGGGGGGCTGCAGCCAACCCACCCTCTGGTGTCTCAGCATGACGGGACAGGGCTTTTGGGGATCACCTCACCCTCTTTGCAGCCCCAGGGTGAAGCTGGGGTTCACCGTATGCAAGGGCATGGGGATGTGGGGTGCCACCCATGGGGGGATCGAGCGGGGCTGGTGGGGGGACCGGACCCCTTTACCTGGAGACGGTCATCTCCGTCTGGGGACCCTGTGACTTCTCCAGGCCCAGCTTCGTGAAGATGCCCACCAGCACCATGATGGCCACCACGCCGCAGATGATATAGACGATCATGTTGGTCTTGTCGCGAGTGGGGTCCTCGGGGGTCTCGTCCACCCGGGCGGGCGGCTGGCCCGTGTTGACCCAATTGGGGGTGTCATAGTTGGAGCAGCCGCTCTGGTCCAGCCGCCCGGGCTTGAACTGGCAGGGGAAAGG